AATAACATGAATAAAAGTTTTCCTAATATTACAAAATGGTGTTTTACATTACTCTCATCAGAAAGTCTTATTTTCACATGACACACATAATTTAATTATTAAAATAATGACTGCGATTGTGATTCTAAAGACGTAGTAAAGTAAAAAAAATGGGGGCGCTAGAAAATAATTAATTCTCGAAGTGGGCGGTAGACAAAATAAGTTTGAAAACCTCTGCTTTAGACCATCATAATTCATGAACAATGGCGGTCAGAGGAGTGGAAATCGCCCAGGCCCATATTAACTATAGTAGGGGTAAAAGTTGACATTGAAACTGAACCAGAAATTGAAAATAAAATGGAGAAACTCTTCTCAACTCTGACGCTTCGTATTTTCTTGTTACTTTTTTGTGAATGATATTTGACTTTTCCCAACATCCAATTATTCTGCAAGAATATTATTTCAGTGCTGAAATATTCAATAGAAATCACCAAGTGTATCCCAGCGTTCTGATAAATAACTATTGTACAACAAAAATCGCAAGAAGATGACAAAAGAGAATTTGTCGAAACGTCGTGAGATCATTCCCAGTGAGGATAATAACACAGAACATGGAAAAAAACCCGCAAATCAGTTCAGCATATATATTCCATATATAAGAGTATTCCATGTGATCTGTATTTCCATTTTGCTTGGTACAACATGAATTTCATTCATTTTTTGTAATACCTAGTTTTTGATATATTCAACGTTGTTTGAGTTTTCCATATTTTAAACTAACCTTCTAGTCATTATTGTAACGAAGTATTTATGTCACTGATTTCTCTCTCAAACTGTAAAGTTGATATTTGAATTAACTTTTGCACTAACCTCCTAACTGAAAAGGTTTAGAAACTGAAGTTATTTGATATAGATCTCTTAAACCTTCTTCAATGTGATGTATTAAGGAAACGATATAGGTAATTGTCACAACACATCTTCTCATGATATCGCCTAAATATTTTTAGTGTTACAAATAGAATATATCGAACCTATCATAAATCTGATCCTTGAATCATATTCTATTCCAAAACACAAATTCATTTCAGAAATCCAACACCATCGCATGATCCTCTTTTGAATGGTTTCATTTGGCCCACGACTGATAGTGAGAATCTGCGGTACTTTAATTTCAATGACACCCTGGAAGTGAAGGAAAACCCAAGGCAGTTCAAAGAAGTGAGATCAGTTCTGGATCGTTATTTGGAACCACCATATATCTATTATTGAGCAACTGTATTGATAATATAATATTAAAAATGAAATAGTTCCCTGTTTTGATTTGTCTTTTCATTCCTGAATCGTCAAAATTTTTTTGAAAGAGTTATCCACAATTTGATACACCGATATTTACGCGGGAAAAAGAAACTTCACAGTATCATTAATTGTGAATATTACAATTTCGGACTTAAACAGGGATTACCCGATTTGAAATTTATGGAAAAGGGTTGTCTCGCAGATGTTTCTCCTTCATCCAGCTGAATATTAGAAATACAATGAACTATGAAAATGATTATAAGGTGAATAATGAAAATTCTGAAAGATTATTCAGTATCCGTATCTGTAGAGTGGGGAGAGTGAGTGTAGACGCACAGCACTTAGGCTGCATGTGACCCATTGTACATCCTCCTGAGGAGTTGTCGTCCTAGGTCATCGTCCATCCTGTCCTTCCCAGGAAGGTGGATAGGTCACTTGGAGACATCTCTTTCATATTGGCAGGTGCAGGCCAAGACTCGCCGAACACACACTCTCTTGTAACAACATGGCCAATTTAGAGAAGATTGCCACAGCATACCGGATTACAGAGGAACAGAGGCGTACTGGAAATTTTATCTTGTCATAATTCATGAAATTGAACTTGTTTTCAAATGACTTCATCTAGAAAAATAGGGTTGCTATTTTATTCACCATAATGAATAATATATCGATACGATTCTATTTGTAACTCTTTCAAATAATATAAGAAGTCATAGCTAAGGGTTTTCAGAATTAGATTTGACTGGCACAAAATGTGAGGATCACTTTACGGAAAACATCATCTCGTTTGGTTTATTGCAACCCAAGCAGAAAATTTCTTCTATTCATACATTGAGAACCGTAGATGTGACTGGAATCTTTGGTGTTAAAGACGAAACATTCGAATGGAGCTCAATTTCTTGAACTCCAAACTATTTTGTACTCGTTGCACGTTTTCACTATCCAAGTTAGCATCTTCAGAAGTGAAATTGACATTAAACATCAATTAATAAGATGCTAATTTGGTTACTGAAACGTGCATCGAGTACGAGTATGGTGTATGGGAAATTGAGCTCTAATTAAAAGGTTTCATTAAGGGGCGATTATAGTCTGGTATGATCAAAGTCAATCATAACAATCAGAAACGCAATAAAATGTTTTCTCTATCAGATATTGTTTGAATTTGTTCTTGAACTTGTATTTGGAGTCGTCTAAATTCCAAATATGATCAAATTCAGTTTGAAATTATGTATGAACTCGCTTGAAAAAAAAATTTATCAATCATATTGAAACAAACCATGCTCAACAAGCGACTCACAATTATTAGTTGATTGTAAATTATTAGTATATTTATTAGTATTTTTATACAACTTAGGTCCAGTGACGTACATTCCAAGACATTCTCTTTTGAATTCGGTTGAATATCTTCGTCCCTTAGGTTTTTTGTGATTGCAAAACTTGGATATTGATGAAATAAGCCAAATTCTTTGAAGGAGCAAACTTATTTGTCAGGTTTTGATGAAAAGTGAAATGAAAATTTCTATGTTTTTACCACTTTTATTTGTAACTAACGCTACTGCAGTTTCGTCCTATATGGACATTCTCAAACTTAAACAACAGGACGAAACTGCAGTAACGTTAGTTACAAATAAAAGTGGTAAAAAACATAGAAATTTTCATTTCTCTTTTCATCATGATATCCTACCACGTAGTAACGGCTACATCCATCAATTTATTATTTGTCAGGTTTTTGTAATCTTGCAAAGGAAGGTTTTCCAAAGATTTTTTTAGCAGTCAACAACTTGTTCTCCAGCTCCTCAACCTGATTTTTCAAACGGTAGTTCTCGTTCCTCAAGTTTTTGGTAACACTTTGAAAAAAAATTGAAACATTTAACCCAGCGCCCGTCGTTGGTATATAGACAGGAGAATAACTGTTTTAGATGGGTTCTTTCTTTCTTTTTGTGAATGAATCAAACGTTTTTGAATGATATACACATACAATAGAGAGTGTTTGTAATTTTTTTTGATTTCACTCACTTTTACTTACAGAAAATGGATTTCAAGCATTGATTTCAAGATATTTCTACCTCCTCAAAATACATTCAAATAATATTTATGAAAGAGTTTAACTCACCTATCAATATCTTTTGGAAACGTAAATAAACTCTTATTAGTCTTTAACCTGTTGCTTCTATACTTCACTACAGCACAAACATGACCACCTTTTTTCTGTTTATCCCTTGGTAATAATAATAAAACACTCACGAAAGAAGCAAAACACAATTTAATACCAAAATTAAATTTGACTGGTCCACTGCTTTTCAACATGGCCGACATAGCGACGCGAAGTATAAATGTGAATTAATAGACATAATAATCAAAAGAAAAGTGCCAGTTGACCTAAAAGTTAGTGACTTAGTTTGCAAATAAGTAGATGACTGGGAATTTTTTGATTCAACAAGTAACGAGTTGGAACAGGATAATAACAGGTCAGGATCAATGACAACACTGAAGTATGATCTTAAAAACGCAAATATTGAAATTCAGTACTTGAAGCAACTGAACAATGAACTTGAAAAGTCTATAAGTGACAAAGAATTCATCATGAAGTTACTTTATAAAGATTCATCACAAAATTCAAACCTGCATGCCATAGTCGATGTAGGCGATGTTTCCACTGTGAAAAGTTATTCAGTGGAGAATAAAAATGAAAATTCAACCTTAAATGGCGAACAAGAAATATCAAAAATTTCTTACTCAGAGGTGGCAAGTTCTTTAATGCAAGCTGAAATGAAGCAATTGTGCAATGAATACATGAATCTAAGCAATCATCAAATAATTGACGGGCATTCGAAACAGACAGACAACAACTAATCAAAAAGCTGGCGGAAAACAGGGCGGATCCCCCACAGGTATTAAAGGAGTCCCAAAGTTTGTCGAACTTCATGTGTACAGGCTTGAATCCAGTACTGATTGTGGAAAACTGGAAGATATGTTAAAACCTAGTTTTCTAGAGGTAAAATGCGAACAACTCACATCCAGATATCCGGATACATATTCATCTTTCAAAGTTAGTATCCACCAAAAGCATTTCAAAGCAGCCATGAATCCTGAAATTTGGCCAGATAATGCTTGTATTAAACGTTTTTCATCAATGAAATGGAAGGACAATACACAAAAATGTAGTTTTTCAACCACAGATTTTATTATTGAATATACAATGTCTAAATTATGAAAAAATTCATAACTTCAGATTGATCTATCAGATTTTAGTAATATTAATGTTCTGTGTTTTGTAGAGACATGGTGTACAAATGACTCTGTAAATAGTTATGTGTTTGATGTTTTGATTTAGCTAATTTTTACTGTCATCAGAGTTCAAGGGAGGTGGAATAAGTATTTATACAAAAAGCTGTACCTCTTATAGCAAATTGAACTTAGAACAATTTTGTATTGAAAAACATATTGAAGTCTGTGAGATAAGTTATAAATTTGAAACTAATAGTAACAGTTATGATAAATTTTTTGTATTATTATGTTATCGCTCACCCAGTGACAGTACTGACATTTTTTTGGACAAAATACTGAATATTTTGGACTACATATATATAAACCAAATAGATATATTATTATATGCTGTGATTTCAATTTTAATTCTTATAGGGAAAATGCATATTTTAATAACTTTTCTGTGCTGATTTCTTGGTTTAATTTAGTTTCGAAGGTGAAACGGCCAACTAGAATTAGAACCAATACTGTCTCAACTTTGGATAATCTATTTGTAAATTGCAATAATGATTGAATTGTTTGTGTTCTTGACAATAATGTTTCAGATCATCGAACTATATTTTATGAAATGAATATAACAAATGAATGTAACTTGAAATTATCTAAATATATAAGAGTTTTTTTTTCTGAAGAAAACATAAACAATTTCAAAAATAGTCTGAGCAGTGAGAACTGGCATGAACTATATATACAAAGTGATCTGAATATAACTTTTGACTTATTTTACCAATTTTTTATGTATCACTTCAATTCTAATTTTCCTCTAATAAAACATAATATTAGTAAGAGTACAAAAAATGGGTTGATCAAGAAGTAAAAAACTCTAGCTCACGGCTCAAAAACATGCATATATCAAATTGATATATCTTGAAGTTGAGAAAAGACACAAAGTATTGATTGAACAAACAAAGAGTGATACTGAAAATGTATGTGAAACTACTTGGAACGTGGTGTCTGAACTCAACAATAACAAATAAAAATAAAGTTAGACAAAATTTAGAAATTGAAGTTGATAACGATTGCGTAATGGATCCATGCGTGATTGCTGATATTTTCAATAATTATTTCAAAACTACTTCCCAATAAATTTTAAATGGTTAACCCCATTCTGCTTAGCAAACAAATAAAGACGTAGACGTGAAAAATATTACCAAACCTAAGTTTCTCTTGTATTCGTTCACTGGAGAGGAATTATTTGATTTACTTATAAGTAAGCTCAAAAATAAACAATCCTCAGGCTCCTATGAAGTTCCCAGTTTTATCCTAAAAAGGATTTTANCTTCGAATGTTCTAGAAAAACCTTGGAAATGTGCTGAATATGCTGAGTCATTTCCTGGGTAACTGCGTAGTGGCTGATGCAATATTTGTTTATTATGGTGCAATCCTTGGACAAAGGGTGCATTGATTTTTCTGATATAACATATATATCCAAGCTACGATGTTTGTTCCAGAAAAAGAACTGACGTTGGAAGGGACGATACTGAGACTGAAGGAGGTCGTGAAATGTATCGGCGTGTGGTTCGACACAAAGCTGACCTTCACAGAATGCTGAGAAGATTGTTACCGCACCCACAAATCTGTTACCCGAGGTTGGAGGTCCTGAAGCATTCAAAAAAGGGCAGCACCTTAACACAAAATAGGTATCAGGTTCTGTAGTGCCTATAGAACAATTTCTGCCGAAATAGCTTGTGCCATTGGGGCGTCCCTCCAATGGAATTCCAAATAATGGAAAGGAGGGAACGATACACCGGTACAACCAAAGTGCTGACCAGAGGAAATTTATGCATTGTTGCCAAGTCAAAAGGGAGAATGGTATCACATTTCTTAGTGGCCAGAAAATATAGTCTGGTCAATGTAGAACATTTTCTAATACAATGAAAAACTTTGTTAGGAAGGATTATTTTCTGTGAAATGATTACTGGTATCAATATTAATTTTTGTTTTGATGTATATAGGCATTCATCTATTCTAGAAGATTTGAGTGAATTTTAGAAAAGTTCGGAGTTACTAGATGAGGTACTCGGCTCATCTGAAGTCGATGGATCTGGTTTCATTTATAGTCTGTCAAATCGATAAAGAGATTTTATGGCTTATGAGCTCCCCTAAGATGCGCGTGGTAGAAAACGACAATCCTGTAGTGTCTACTTCAGTAAAGTATAGTACGCGACAAAAGTCTGTGATTCAAGAAAATGGCATTTGAATCGAAGTTGAAACGAAAAGCTTTGGGTGGTCAGGCGAGAGAAGTGATTGCTAATATACTTTTTTTCATGCAACAAGAATCTGATAGTGGCATGAGCATGGGTCTGAAAAAGAACTGTGCTGTGCAAAAGCGGCGCGTTTATGGGGAGGGAAAACGAAAAAAAATTACCGTGAAGAATGTCGAACAATAATTTGTATGGATGAAACATATATCAATGCTTCATACAAATATGAGAAGAATTGAAATGATGGTTTGAATGAAGGGTTGTTTGCACTTATTCCAAAAGAGCAGAGACCTATAATTGTGAATGCAGGAGGAAAGAATGGATTTGTGAAAAATTCGTATGTGAAATTCAAATTCAACACAAAATCGGACTATCATAGCGGAATGAATTACGACAATTACAAAAAGTGATTGCAAGAAATGTTAATTCCCAATATTTCAGAAAAAAAGCGTTTTGGTTATAGACAATGCCCCTATCCATAATGTCCAGTATGAAAAGTACCCATATCCTCGAGGATAGATGAAATGAGACAATGATTAAGACGACCGAACATTCACTTAACGGATGATACGCTGAAAATTGATCTATATTTCATTATTCGAATCCACAAACCATGAATCAAGTTGTATGAAATTTATAGGATCATCGAAATACTGTACAAAGATTGTCACCTTATCATCCTGATTTGAATCTAATAGAAATAGTATGGACATCACTGAAACAATATGTGTCTGATGAAAATGTGGACTTCAATTTCAAATCCGTTGAAAGTTTATGAGACGAATTAGACAATATCGCAATAGAATGAAATTATTATGAAGGTTCAACATTTATAATGATTTCGTCTCTTGCGAAATCGAGAGACATTCTTCGAAACGTTTAGCGTGTTTGCAACGTTTTTTCCACTGCTCTTGAGAAAACGAAGTGAAGAAATCGTCACATAAACTTTCAACGGATTTGAAATTGAAGTCTACATTTTCATCAGCTTCATATTGTTGTCCATACGAATTCTATTGGGTTCAAATCTGGATGATAAGGAGGCAATCTGAGTACAGTATGTCTATGGTTTTCCATAATCCTATCATGCTTTTTTTTTGAAGATTGGGAATTACTGTTTTTTGCAACTACTTTTTGTAACTGACGTGATTCATTTCGCTATGACAGTCGCCTGATTTTATGTTGGATTCGAATTTTAGATATGAGTTTTCTACAAATCAATTTTCTTCTCCTACATTCACAATTATTAGCCTCTGCCCTTTTGAAATTGATGCAAGCAACCCTGCATTCAAATCATCATTCCAACTGTTCTTATGTGTGTGTGAAGCCTGGATATAGGTTTTATCGATATTAATAATTGTTACTTCTTTTTCACGGTATTTCTCNTACGAGAATTGAAAATACCTGCATATACCATGTTGACAACCAAATTTCAAAAGAAGATTGTTTACCGAAATTACTAATTGGTAAAACCGATCATCAATGCCAGACGATTCAAATTCAATTAGACCAGGACATAATAGAACCTGTCAACGATGCCTACATGATTATTATCCCCATTGATAAGATCATGATTGAGAAAAATTGTAAGGAGCATGGATACGAAAATATCAGACAACCACAGTTGATCCATATCCCACATAAATGTAACCTCACTGTTAGAGGCGAAGTTTATTCCAACGACGCCACTTCCGTTCAAGGAAACCCTCTACAGTTACCCGAAATAGATACTATCCAGCTACATCCTGAGAATAACCCTATGAAAGTTCCTGAAAGAGTAAACCTCGACGAACTAACCCGACTTCAGGACCTTGCTGAAAAAACCCAATTACATCGACTAGAAGCCTTAGAAGAAGACAGCACTTCTTATACTTTAATGTATATTTGTATATTCATATTTATAATACTTCTTACATATTTTATTTTATATTCCAAATATAAGAACAAATTTAAATGTTTTAAAAGGAAAAATAAACAAGAAAATATTCATTTAGAAAATGTTGATGAAAATAATGTTAATGTATTATTTTCATCTTAGGGATGGAGGAGTTATGTATATAAAACCCTCCTTTATGCTTATTCATCAAATGCTGACTAAGTTATAATAAACTTATAAAAGCTAGCCATCTTGAAAGAAGAGTCAGTTCTGTTAGTACGATTGTCAGAGTAACTTCTGTATAATAAAGTCTGTAAATCTAAATAAAGTCTTTTTAAAAAGTGGTTCCCGTGGCCCGAAACTATAATTAGCAATATGTCAGTATTGTCTATCGTAACCATTCAGTAGAACGTCATATTAATTCTAATCAAGTAGAAGTCAAACATGGGGTACAGCAAGGGTCCATATTGGGACCTGTACTCTTTATATTATATCTAAATGAAATTGGGTGTATCTCTGCAGGCGACATGTCCATTTATGCCGACGATACTTCATTTTTGGTATCTGAAAAATTAGATGATGCTCTTGAATTCAAATGTAATAGTATTCTGAATGATGCTAGCAAATGGTTCAGTGGGAACTTTCTATTTCTAAATATCACCTAAACAAGATTCATCAGATTTCACAACTTTCAAAAAAGATGCTCTCAACTCAACATTTGTATTCAGGGCAGCTGTATTAGGCAAGATGAGACAGTTGAATTCCTAGGAATTTATCTTCATGAAACCCTGAATTTCAGAAATCACTGCACGATTACTTATACCTTATCTGGGGTAGGCTGGTCTACGGCGGCATATTTTGCAAAAGCTTTTGAAGAATTTTACTTCCCCTCACCCTACTTATTTCTGCCACTGACCAGGAGTCCGGCGACCCCGTCCGTAAGGCCACATTGGCTTCCCGGACTTTGCCGCCAGTTTTGTGGCCGTTCTCCTATCGCGCCCGATATTCAGTATTGATGACATCCATTTCATCTATGTGAGTTTCGTCATCACGATCTGCTACTTTATGTTTGCTGATTTCAATCAATTCAATTTACGGTGAAGAACCGGAAAAAATCAACGTTTCCCTGGTTATCTCTCACATTACTCATTGACGCTTGTACGTTGTTCCAAAACGTTTGTTTGTTTTATTGTCATGTGTTTTGTTTGTAGATCCATATCCCAAAAAATATTTACTCTACTGTGTCGTAGTATATACTGATCGATAGAGAATTTTGTATTCTTACTCAAGCGACTTTTGCCCAATTTTTCTCTATGAATTCAATTCAAATCATATTGCTGCTGAAAGAGCCTGAAAATTTAATGAGCGTTTGTCAATGATTCTGTTAATTAACGCACTAGTATACGTTGGTTTGCGAAAATTCATTTCAGATATTTTACCCTCGAAGATGAGCCCCCCAAAGTGGTCGACTTATAGTACAAAACGTATTGGTAAGGTCGAAAATTTCGTAAAATGGGTGCCCCACAATTTCATTAATCATCACAAATTTTGACGTTTCGAGGTCTGTTCTTTTTTGATTTTGCGCTATAGAAACGATCCTTTTTTGAATCGGATCGTCACGTCTCATGAAAAGTGGATCCCCTACGATCAACAGGAGATGTTCAGAATAGAGTAGTTGGACACTAATCAGGCACTTCCCAAAGGCAAAAACCCACCAAAAAAGACCATGGTTACCGTATGGTGTTCAGCGGCTATAACTTTTTGCAACCGGGAGAAACTACCACTACAGTGTTGAATAATGAACAATTCAATGAAATGTATAGTAAACTGCGTCAGCAGCAGCAGACACTGATCATCGGAAGAGGTCCGATCCTGATGGACGATAACGCTCGCCCTTACGATTTACAAATCACCGTCCAAAAATCAAACGAACTGAGCATCGAAATTCTACCCACCCATTCTCTACCCTTTTGCCAACCGACTTATTCCAGAAAAAGAACTGACGTTGGAAGGGACGATACTGAGACTGAAGGAGGTCGTGAAATGTATCGGCGTGTGGTTCGACACAAAGCTGACCTTCACAGAATGCTGAGAAGATTGTTACCGCACCCACAAATCTGTTACCCGAGGTTGGAGGTCCTGAAGCATTCAAAAAAGGGCAGCACCTTAACACAAAATAGGTATCAGGTTCTGTAGTGCCTATAGAACAATTTCTGCCGAAATAGCTTGTGCCATTGGGGCGTCCCTCCAATGGAATTCCAAATAATGGAAAGGAGGGAACGATACACCGGTACAACCAAAGTGCTGACCAGAGGAATTTTATGCATTGTTGCCAAGTCAAAAGGGAGAATGGCATCACATTTCTTAGTGGCCAGAAAATATAGTCTGGTCAATGTAGAACATTTTCTAATACAATGAAAAACTTTGTTAGGAAGGATTATTTTCTGTGAAATGATTACTGGTATCAATATTAATTTTCGTTTTGATGTATATAGGCATTCATCTATTCTAGAAGATTTGAGTGAATTTTAGAAAAGTTCGGAGTTACTAGATGAGGTACTCGGCTCATCTGAAGTCGATGGATCTGGTTTCATTTATAGTCTGTCAAATCGATAAAGAGATTTTATGGCTTATGAGCTCCCCTAAGATGCGCGTGGTAGAAAACGACAATCCTGTAGTGTCTACTTCAGTAAAGTATAGTACGCGACAAAAGTCTGTGATTCAAGAAAATGGCATTTGAATCGAAGTTGAAACGAAAAGCTTTGGGTGGTCAGGCGAGAGAAGTGATTGCTAATATACTTTTTTTCATGCAACAAGAATCTGATAGTGGCATGAGCATGGGTCTAAAAAAGAACTGTGCTGTGCAAAAACGGCGGGAGTATGGGGAAGGAAAACGAAAAAAAATTACCGTGAAGAATGTCGAACAATAATTTGAATGGATGAAACATATATCCATGCTTCATATAGATATGAGAAGAATTGAAATGATGGTTTGATTGAAGGGTTGCTTGCACTAATCCCAAAAGAGTAGGGACTTATAACTGTGAATGCAGGAGGAAAGAATGGGTTTGTGAAAAATTCGTATGTGAAATTCAAATTCAACACAAAATCGGACTATCACAGCGAAATGAATTACGACAATTACAAAAAGTGATTGCAAGAAATGTTAATTCCCAATATTTCAGAAAAAAAGCGTTTTGGTTATAGACAATGCCCCTATCCATAATGTTCAGTATAAAAAGTGCCCAAACATGTCCTCGAGGATAGATGAAATGAGACAATGATTAAGACGACCGAACATTCATTTAACGGATGATATGTTGAAAATTGATCTATATTTCATTATTCGAAACCACAAACCATGAATCAGGTTGTATGAAATTTATAGGATCATGGAAATACTGTACAAAGATCGTCACCTTATAATCCAGATTTGAATTTAATAGAAATAGTATGGGCATCACTGAAACAATATGTGTCTGATGAAAATGTGGACTTCAATTTCAAATCCGTTGAAAGTTTATGAGACGAATTAGACAATAACGCAATAGAATGAAATTATTATGAAGGTTCAACATTTATAATGATTTCGTCTCTTGCGAAATCGAGAGAAAGTTCTTTCGAAGCATGAAATTCTTCGAAACGTTTAGCGTGTTTGCAACATTTTTTCCACTGCTCTTGAGAAAACGAAGTGAAGAAATCGTCACATAAACTTTCAACGGATTTGAAATTGAAGTCTACATTTTCATCAGCTTCATTTATATATTGGGTTCAAATCTGGATGATAAGGAGGCAATCTGAGTACAGTATGTACATGGTTTTCCATAATTCTATCAGTTTCATACAACTTGAATCGTAGTTCATGGATTTTAAAAAAAGGATAGAGACCAATTTTTATTATATCATCCGTGAAATGAATGTTCCGTTGTCTCAACCATTATCTTATCTCATGTTTCCTCGAAGACATGTTTGGGCACTTTTCATACAGAACATTGTGGAATTGGGCATTATCTATAACCAAAATGCTTTTTTTTGAAGATTGAGAATTATTATTTTTTGCAACTACTTTTTGTAACTGAGGTGATTCATTTCGCTATGACAGTCGCCTGATTTTATGTTCGATTCGAATTTTAGATATGAGTTTTCCACAAATCCATTTTCTTCTCCTGCGTTCACAATTATAAGCCTCTGCCCTTTTGAAATTGATGCAAGCAACCCTGCATTCAAATCATCATTCCAACTGTTCTTATGTGTGTGTGAAGCCTGGATATAGGTTTTAAAATTTAAAGAAATGAACTTTTAACGTTCAAGCCAGTCTCGAATATACCTACACAGTAGGTTGAATGGAATGACGCCTTTCAGGAAACAACTACTTCCCTGGTCGACCTTCAATTTTGGAACGGGCACACTTGCAGACCGATTTCGGGCTCATTAGTCACTCATCAGTGCAAGATATTGGCCATCATCGACCATCGTCCATCTAGTGGACGAGATACTAACCAACTGCATATCCGTAATTTGCCCGATTCCTCTGAATAGGGAAGAGAAACTTTCCTATTAGTCAGTGGGCTATGCTTGAAGACTGGCAGTAAACAAACCTAAAGAAATGAACTTTTAACGTTCAAGCCAGTCTCGAATATACCTGTGAAGATTCCTGAACTGACGCCTGTCGGATATAATCCAACGCCCTTCGTGTTATTAGCCAGGGGAGTAGTTGTTTTCTGATAGGTGTCAGTCCATTCAACTTACCGTATAGGTATATTCAAGACTGGCAAGTACATTAACAATCACCAAAACTTGTCGTTTCAATTTCGATTTGAATGCCATTTTTTCAGAGCATAGACTTTTGTCGCGTACTATACTTCATGGAAGTGGATACTACAAGATTTTTGTTAAGCTCCGATAGACTTTCGGGGGGTTTCTGCTACGGGAGGTCCTAAGCCGAGACTATGAAGTCGCTTTTCAGACTTGACAAGTTGTATAGTCGGATGCTTAACAAACTGTAATTCAAGTTTCGTTCAAATTGAACACATACACAATCATTTATTTTTATTCGAATGAGAAATTCCGAACAGTAATCAAGAGTGAGCTATCAAAAAAAGCAGGTGCATCTGGAGTATTGAAGACCCTGATTTGGCTCACTATGAGTTTCAATAAATTTGTATAGTGTTAGCCTTGGTCTAGATAACTGAAAATATCATTGAAGTAGTTTCAGAATCAAATACGCGACGGTGCAAATTTTTTCCTGTTTGAAATTTCATTAACCATGGCAAAATTTCAAGTTGATTAAACATCTCCAATTCATCAATGGTTTCAGAAACTAGGTGAAGATCTTGTAGTTCAACTGAGGGATGGAAAAATTCGTGGTCATATCTTGAAAAGCGAAAATGGCATTGACTTCTACGCCTTCCAAGAGATCCCATATGCTGCGCCTCCAGTAGGAAGGAACAGATTCCAGGTAAGTGGGATTCTATTGAAAATATTCCATAAAAAATAGGTTTCAATGAATTATATGAATTCTGAAATAGTAGAACATCGTGAAGTTCCGAATTTTGAGTAAGAGTATCAGGCAAGTGAATGCGAAAGAAATTAAATAGGATCATTATTGTTCTTGGTTCTATTGAAAACATAAAAATGACATTGCTAAAAATAGGTTTCAATGAATTATATGAATTCTGAAATAGTAGAATGTCGTGAAGTTCCGAATTTTGAGTAAGAGTATCAGGCAAGTGAATGCGAAAGAAATGAAATAGTATCATTATTGTTCTTGGTTCTATTGAAAACATAAAAATGACATTGCTAATGTTTCTCCATAGATGAATGAATAGAGGGTGACATTTCTAGCCCTGTTTCCTTCATGTCATCAAAAAATCCACATTTTAAAATATAATAGTTATAAATAACATGAGTCAACGTGCAGATCATATCAATCTCAAAATGGCTTACTCTTTGCTAATTATTATAATATTTTGATGAATTTTATACAGTTGAGAAATTGAAATATCTGTAGTCATTCGTGATTTTGTTCATAACTTTGATATTATTACAATTTGAGAAATACTAAGGATTAGAGGTGCCAAAGTCCGATAATCAGAACATTGAATCAACTTGATATCTTTTTCAGCCACCGAAACACGTAAAACCTTGGAAGGGAATACTGAACACCACGAAGAATACAAAAATATGTTATCAAAATTATTCAAAACATGGCTTAGAAATGGATGAAGATTGCTTGTATATCAATGTCTATACACCTTTGGTGAGTACTATCAAACTGTTTTAACAATTTTTATGATGCACTGTTTGGAACCTTTTGTGTAGTAATAAATATTACTGGAGTTGTTTCCCAACACCAAACAGTTTAATCTTCCTCTTGAAGATGATCACTTGGTGATCGAAACACGTGTCGAGGTGTAGGAAAAATAATGATTTGGTGTTGGGAAAGAACTCCAGTAATATTCATGTTTTAACAATAATCAATAAATTGATGGATGTAGCAGTTATTACATGGTATTAGATAAAATAATACTTTCTATGTGGTAAAAAAAACATGGACAGTATTATTTCTCTTTTTCAAAATGAGTATTTCATTTTGTAAGCTGACCAAGCCAACCTTCCCAGTATTGAAAATTTCAATTTGCTGTCTGAATTTATCACGTCATGAATCATTAATAGCATAAAATATACCATGCCGTTCCTAGGACCATATACCATAATTTTTCTTATGGAGCTTCATTTTAGTCATTTTCAAACATTCCAAAGCCATTCGAAATGGTCGGCGAGGAAGGTGTTCGGCCATCAAGATGAAGTGAGTGAATATCGTTCGGGTGATCGTATTAGATGAAATCGAACTCAAAGATTGTTGTGTTGTTGTGATTGTTGTGTTGAATAATAATAATGACAATAATAATAATTACTTCGAATCATTATTGTTATCATAATGAATATAAGATTTCTAGAATATGATGTACAGGGTCCTCTCCAAAATTACACTGAATCATTGAAGATTCGTTACCGAATCTTGTCATTACTTAGAAATTCGTTTAGGTAATTAAGCATAAAAATTCACAATATACACTGAATTTCATGAATAATTCTTATGATGCATTCAAACCACAATTTTGCTTCATAACTGTGTTTTTTTTGAAATAGAATCCAAACTGATTCTGATAGCATACATACACTAAGGTACGAGGTCCCCCATCTTTGTTGATGCACAATAGCGTATCAACAATATATTAAGATGTCAACCGTGTGGTGTCGGATCTCACACTTTCGACAAATTTACAATAACGTATTATGAAAAATGGGCTGAGATGTGATGTTTCAGGTTCCATATCATGCACTAAACTAGTAAATCACAGCAGATTTGTTATCAGGATAGTTATAGAAAATTTGGAATATGATGTACGGGGGCTTCTTTTTTCAGTGTAGAATGTTTAACCAATGCATAAACCGCACAGCTACAATATTTCTTGATGAAATTGAAATTTTTTCACTAACCTGTCGATACATTCTGCATTTATTTTCCATTCATTTGATATGCTACACGGGACGATGCAAATGTTATTAGCGAAGCTACAACTCAGTCTTTTTATTTTTCCTTTGTCGATGAATTCAACATTTATTTTTCCTTTCATTTGATATGCTAAACGTTGAGATTCAACTATTATTATTGAAAAAGATGCAGCTTAGTGCCTTTCTGACATACCAGCTTCCGCTATGAATACCTACTCAAAATCCCAACATACTCAAAGTCCCTCCCGCGCCAAATACTGATTTACCAGTCGTTTCAGATTATGTTAATTTTTTTTATGTTTCAGAATTATTATTCATTATCATTATTATTATTCGACCCTCATCTCCGAGCTCAATTTCATCTAATACGACCACCCAAACGATATTCACTCACTTCATCTTGATGGCCGAAAACCTTCCTCGCCGACCAATTCAAATGACCTTGGAATGTTCGAAAATGACTAAACTGAAGCTCTATGAAGGGATTTGGTTCTAGAAACGGCATTGTATATTTACTGCCGTATCAATAATGCAACCTATAACTAACTATTGGGAAAAGTTTATCCGAATCATTCTATCAAGACAGCTAATTTACTCAGTACAGTTTGAACTGTACGTCAATTTATGAATCTAGAAACTATCGTGATTGAATTATGTACAACACTCTGGTATGTTTTTTGTGAAACGAATATGGAAGCTTTCTGGAAGTTAGTTGCTTCTAGAAACCACATTCAGTTATCTGGCAATGAAAATATATCTTGAACTACACTTGTTTTCTTATTGAGCACGATTTTTCTCAATAATATTTGACAGAGCTCATGAATTGTTCCAATTTCTGGCTGTACCACCTAATTTCCTAGATTTGTTCAAGAGTTCAGGAACGGACTGGGTTTTTCGTTCAACCTTCATCTACTCGTCTTTTGATCCTTTGTAGGCCCATTACGACTGAGCCTCACATTACCACGAAAAGTCTATGACAACAGGGCGACTAGTAACTCAACAGCTTCATTTTTTCTTCAAGGACAAAATACAAGCATTACGGAAAAATCCTTGAGGTGCTCTGATAGCGGTGCCTGTGTGAAAGTTGCGATTCGCATTGGATTTGAATCGCTGCGGGTTAAATCCATTTGGAAACATTTTCTTATTAAGTTTACTCCACATAAAAGCTCTTCGTGGAATCAAGTGGGCCTAGTCACTTGAACACTTTCCTTGAAAGTATCTTTAGAAGAGAGACAAATCTTCAATCATTCTTCCATGTTCCAGACTATCAAGGTTGCAAGTAATGTTCGTGCCTTTGATTAGGCGATTGGCTGCTTTCTGGATGGAATCCAGCAGATTCAGGGTATACTTAGGGGCGGAACTCCATACATGAGAACTCCACCTATAAAGAAGGTCTGATCTGAGCTTTATAAAGCATCAAAATTTGCTGAAGTGTGTACAGTTTTCTGGTTCAACACATTGGTCCGAGCTTTTGAGAAGCAGTTTTTGCAATTCCAGCGACACAATTGTGCCAAGACATATTGGTGTCATTTTAACCCTCAACAACCTCCTGCTGTGGCACTGATTGGGTTTGAGATTATACAGCCTTCGGGCATATATACATATACATTAGGATGAGAGGTCATTTGGGAGGCCACCTAACTCCCCGTAATCTCCCCCTAATCTCTGATGATATGGTTGAGTAGGACGTGTTGATATCAGTGAATGATATATGTAGTGATACTCTTGTCGTCTACCAACGTCATGCAAAGATGATATTGGTAGATGAACAGAGAGATGCATAACGCATCGAGCACCAAAACGTCGCGTCGGGTTAAGTTAAAGAATATATTTTCAGAAACCCGAAAGTAGTTCTGAAAAATTGCCAGTTCTGTTTTGGATCCATGGTGGAGGTAACAAACAAGGATCTGGTGCATACGAATATTTTGGACCGAAATATATTATTGACCATAGGGTAGTGGTAGCAACCATTAACTATCGATTGGGACCGATAGGTATTGGAATTTCACTTACAATATGAATTTCTTCAAACGATCTAGTTTTAGGATTCCTAACAACAGAAGATAAAGAGATTCCAGCTAATAATGGCCTCATGGACCAAAAATTTGCAATGAAATGGGTCCACCGAAATATACATTTATTCCAAGGAGATCCAAGAAAAGTCACCATTATTGGTCAAAGTTCAGGTTCAGTAGATGTAGGAACGCATATTTTGGGCCGTCATAGTAATGAATTAGGTCAGTATCGTGTCCATCAAATATTTCAATGGTCATTACAGTAAAACTGAGTATAAATAACAATACGTTAAATCACATAATGATCAATAATATTGGAGTTCTTTCACATGAAACTCAAATAACACAAATATTCAAAATGTCATTTTTTACCAAAAGTTTATGTGATTGTGTAAGTCAACCTTCAGTAAATTGAACTCTCGTTGAATATCAATATCATTTCTTCAAAAGAATATACAAACACAAAAAACAAGTTAGTCTCAAACATTCAGTTTATTAACCAGTATTGAAAAATTCTACAAATGAGTGGAGAGGTATTGATATGACGAAAAATCAAGAAGATAACGGCAAAACCAAATAGTTCAAGGATGTTTGTTTCAGCTCTAAAGATAGGTCAACTTGTGCTTCTGAAGTCTCCGAAGTTACTCTATCACCCATGGATGCTCATATTACTTTTCCAATGAAACGACCTTCTAACGTCAAACCTTGGTTCAACAAAAATTGCGAACAAGCTCGCCTACCGATAGTGGCACAAAAATCGCAGAGTCGAAAACCGAACTAGGTTTGTTAATGTTCGCAACAGATGCAAACTCAGGATAAATGAAAGCAAAGAACTTCGCAATCAGAGAATTAGGGTACACTGCTTGCCAATACCAACGGGTCTAGATCCTTCTAGTCAGTAGCTAGATATGTTAATCAGAACTTTACAAAATCCACAATTCCATCACTAACACAAGTGGATGGTTCAATTGCAACAACAGTCATAGAAAAAGCAAATCTACTAGCTGAACAATTTGCTTCCCACTCCACAGTCGATTTTCTGGAAGAGGCACCACCCACTATTCCCACACTAGAATCCACAATGCCAGAAATGACTTTTCGACAGCGTCTAGTCAGGCAAATTTTGAAAGAGCTCAATATCAACAAGGCGTCTGGCCCTGATGAAGTGCCCGTCATCGTACTTGAAAAGTGCGCAAATGAACTCGAACCAGTATTTTGCAGACTTTTCAACCTATCTTACAAGAATGAGGTTATTCCTTCTTGTTAGAAGATTCCTTGGTTCAGCCTATTTCCAAAAAGGGCAAGAAAAATCTTCCAAATAATAGACCAGTCACTTTGCTATCAGTGATAATAAAAATCATGGAGAAAGTCGTAAACCACCATATCGTCAAATATTTGTGAGGCTTGAACATCTTGAGTGATTATGAGGCTTTCGGAAACGGAGATCAACAGGCGAACTTCTATCGTATGTCACCCATACTTGGAATAACGTAATCGAGAATTAAGATCTGTTGCGCTTGATTTTCTGATTCTGGCCAAACTTCGAGGCTATGGCTTGTCGGATTATTTCTGTATATGGCTTTCCAGCTTCCTGAAAGAACGTTCCCTGCAAGTGGCCGTCGAGGGATATCTCTCGAATACTTTCACCATCAACGCTGGTGTTACCCAGGGATCCATATTTTCTCCAACCCCCTTTTTATTGTATATCAACGACTAATTGGAAAAAACTAAGAATCCAATATAATGCTTTGCTGGCGACAGCACACTTGTCTCGTCACTCCATTTGGATTCCAGGACATCGGCTACGGAGGCACATCTTCACCGGCAGCAGGAGTTTGCATATCTCAATGAGAGTCTAGAAGTGATTTCGAATTGGGATGAAAGTAAACAGGTTCAATTCACTGCCACAAAAATTCAGGCATCGGTTTTCTCCAATAAGATAAATGTCTTCAAACCGGGTATAATAATGTCAGGTCAGACAATAGGTTCGTTCAGGCTGATTTAGTTTATAACAACTGAGCAAGAGCAATTGAAAATGTGAGATCGCCCGCGGTACATCTTGACGTCACACCAGGCAAACGAGCTTCGAGCGGTGGCAACCGGACCTGTAGTTGGATATTATGATTCGCTGCTATCGTCAATTCAATTTATTTTCTTCATAGTAATGTATATATCAATTCTGGGTAAATGGCATTTTTGAGACAAGACTTCTATAATAAATAAAGAGTACCTTGGGATTCCAAGACATGATTTCGGATTTTTCTCTATGACGTAAATAGATCCTCGCTCAATATTGTTTATCGATTTCCAGTTTTCAACTAATATTCCAGACAAAGTAGAATCTGATGATGTATCAACAGAAGTCATGTCTGATGTACTCAAACTATCACTGTCCTCGAGGGAACTTAGTAGTAATTTTTTCCAATACTTTCTGTATTTTCTATTTCTTTAGAACGATTTCTTTTTCAGTGGTTCCTGTGTACCTGTTTCATCACACGTGATTTGATTTTCCTCTATATCTTCGTTACAAGTATTCAAAAAAATTTGTTTTTCCTTTTTTTGAACAAATGGTAACAAACGGTAATAAACGGTGGAGCTTTAGATGTATGGGCCGTCGGTCTATCAATCTGGAAATCAAATATATGCGGAATTATGCCTGGCTTCAACATAATTTTTTCCACTTTCATAGTTTTGATATACATGTAATTTTCTTAAGTCTATTTCAATCTAAAATTCAAAGTAGTGCTCAGAGTAAAGTATAATTTTTTTCACAATATGTGACACCAATATGTCTTGGCATGTCGCTGAAACATCGAAGGAAGGTTGAAGATTTGTTTCTCTTCTAGATACTTTCAGTACAGCTCGAACTTCACCGTTTAAGAACTCTTCATCAGAACGTTTTTCCAAATGAATTTGATCTCCAGCGGTTCAAATCCAATGTGGATCGCTTCTTTCGCACAGGCACCGCTCTGAGAGCGCCTTAAGGATTTTTCTGTATTGCTTGTGTTTTGCCTTTGAAAAATTGGTTATTGAATGAGCATCATTTTATTATATTTTGTGAGGAAATAATTTGAGTGGAATCTTGAGAAAAAAATATTGTAAATGAGTTCAATCAGAGATAATAATGACTAGATAGAAAATTATATACTTATTAATTTAGGAAAAATTTCAGATTTTGATAAATGTATTTTCAGAGCTTTTCCGTTCAGCAATTATGCTAAGTGGTTCACCACTCGTTTTCTTTGGACATATGAATTCCAGAGAAAGAGCTTTCGAATGCGGTCGTTTCTTGGACAAAAATTTCAAATCAAATAGCTCTGAGGATCTTCTTCAAATTCTTCAAAGAGTTTCTGCACATTCCCTTTGTCAGGTGAGTTATTTTTTTTTCTCTTTCTTCATTGATATCGCAATGCAAACATTCACAATCATTGAATCTCCCTACATTTTCATCTGGTCAACTCGTACACAAAAAGAAGGAAGCTATATCAGTTTCAAATCGAGTTCAAAATTTTGTCAAAACATATTAAATGGATGTGTTTCAATTGAATAATTGTCTCGAGGTGAATCAGTTATTGATACTCGTTTGTGAATATGGCTATGAGAAAGCACACACAGAAGTGTTTTTATGAGCCGCAGTGAAAAAATTATATTTTTTACTTCTGCTTCCGAATGAAAATTGTCCATTGCACTAATTATTTTGAAATGAGATTGGGAACCCTACCGCGTATCAAGTCACCTAATTATTAGCTTTCTTTGAAAATATTTCCCAGAGAAAAACTCCTATACAGTATTTCAAAAAATATTACGTTTCAACTCTGGCACCAGTTGAATTTAACAATGAATTAGATTACATCACGATACAGAAATAAAAAACTAGTATCATGTACCACTTACAATTCTGTCAGAATTTTCCAGGATTGGCCCACTCCAAGGCGTTTATTCACCCTTCGAAGCTTGATACCAAACAGTTGTTGAACTGCAGTAGGGATGAACTACGATGCCTAACAGTCCTTCTTACAGATCACTGTCATTTGAGTCATCATATTCAGAGATTCGGACTGTCGAAAGACAGTGTGTGTCGCTTCTATTTAGACAATGATGAAACAGCAGAGCACATACTTTGTGCCTGCCTCNATAATTGGCCCCATAATATTTGATGGTCCTTTGAGTGGTGATAGATACCTAGGTTTTCTCAGAAATGAAATTGAAGGAGATTTAGAAGATTTACCGCTTGATCTGGCAAATCGACTGTTTTTTCAGCAGGATGGAGCACCTCCCCATAATAGTAGGATAGTGACAGAGTACCTTCATGGTAGATTTGGGGAGCAATGGATTGGAACACATGGTCCTATTAGGTGGCCTGCTAGATCACCCGACTTGACGCCGTTGGACTTTTTCATTTGGGGTCACTTGAAAAATATGCTAGGCAACTTCCCCAACAAACCGCGAGGACCTGGAAATACGAGTAAGACAAGCCATTCAGAATATAACGCCACAACAATTGGCCAGTGTGATTCAAAATTACAAATATTATTCCGCTGGTGTGCCTGTGTTTTACTGAGCTCTCCAACCGGCAGTATTTTGATGAAGAAATATTTTCCTAAAAAAGCCGTTCTTTTTGTGAATCGAGTGTGTTGAATCATACAGTTGCATTTCCTTAGTGCGAACCAGAAGATTCAGTGGTTAATTAGATCTGTAGAACTGCATAAAGATTCTCAAGTAAGCATTATTCATTTCTAACCCATCGTAAAAAAACTCTGTCTCGATTCGAATCAGATTTGTTTTGGTTATTTTCATTTCTTCTACTGATAGTGAAACTGAACAGTGGCGGGTGCAATTTGATTGGGGTTATTTCATATGAAAAACATACCTTCCAAAACCATCAATAATGGCTGGGAAAGATATCTCTAAAAAGTCAAAAATGCCACAAGTGTATAACGAGAAAGTAGATATGCTATTGATTTTTGGGGAATGTCGGCAAAATGTAGTTGCGGCTCACCGGTTATACTCGGAGCGATATCCCGCACGACAATGTCCGGCTAGAAATTATTTCGAGCGTCTTGAAGAGGAGTTCAGACGTAAGCCTGATCATAATGAAGGTAATGCAATTTTCATTATATCTGAAGAAATGGAAATGAATGTCCTCATGAGGTTGGAAATCGATAAAACAGTATCTCTTAGACAGCTGGCTTTTGAGTTGGATATCAGTCATGAAAGTGTAAGAAGAATTTAAAAAAAACACAAGTATCGATCTTTCAAATATCAACTTCACCAACATCTGTTTGACGGCGATAGCGTAAGAAGGGTGGAATATTGCAGATGGGTTCTACACAATGATGTGCAGCCCAATAATGAGTTTTTGAAAACAATTTTATTCTCAGATGAGTCAAGATTCATCAATCTTGGTTTCTTTAAAAGACAGAATTGGATTCAATGTCTGGCTGGGAATAGTAGGGGTTGGGATAATTGGCCCCATAATATTTGATGGTCCTTTGAGTGGTGATAGATACCTAGGTTTTCTCAGAAATGAAATTGAAGGAGATTTAGAAGATTTACCGCTTGATCTGGCAAATCGACTGTTTTTTCAGCAGGATGGAGCACCTCCCCATAATAGTAGGATAGTGACGGAGTACCTTCATGGTAGATTTGGGGAGCAATGGATTAGAACACATGGTCTTATTAGGTGGCCTACTAGATCACCCGACTTAACCCCGTTGGACTTTTTCATTTGGGGTCACTTGAAAAATATGCTAGGCAACTTCCCCAACAAACCGCGAGGACCTTGAAATACGAAAGACCTTGAAAGACAAGCCATTCAGAATATAACGCCACAACTCCGGGCACTCGCACAGGACATGCCTGACATTCTCATCTTCCTTTTCACACATCTTGCATAGAGGTGTGTCCACTAGCCCCATATTATGTAGGTGTTTCCTTAGCTGACAGTGGCCAGTCCGAAATCCTACTGTAAGGCGTAGATTTTTCCTTGTCATCGCCAGATATTTCTTCGGCGCCAGCTTCCCAGGGTCGACCAAGGTGATCGTGGCAAGATTACATCCTTTGATTTCATCCCATCCCTTCAAAGATTGAGCATGGGTGTAACATTTGACTAAGTCCGCAATTGTCGAAGTCATCAGGCCGTAGGTGCCACTGAGTCCTAAAATTCTTAGTCCAGCCGCTTCCTTCGCTAAAGAGTTGTGCCCTTTAACCCACCTCAGGATAATGTTATTATCTACCGAGGCATCTACGCTGGCATGTTTTGCAGGGCTTTTGGGGGGGAAGTCCCAAAAGGGGGAAGTCCCTAAATCTTCTTGCCATTCAGGTGTTCAATCTTTGTTCTGGCGAAGCCTAAAGCGATGCCAACGATAGGTTCTGGTCCGATGAATCTGCTTGTAGCGCCCTCCTTTGCATGTGATTCAGCGGCCTCATTGCGTTTCAGGCCAGTATGGCCAGGAATCCAATTTATTGAGTATTCCTATTGAAGAGGCTCGTTTTTGGCAATTTGTTACCAATTTAGACGTTGCTTGGTAGAAATTATTAGCTTNTTGGAGCCAAGAGCTTTCAACGCCGCTTGACTGTCCGAGAATATTTTTATCGACTTGTGTATGAGGTTGGATTTTTCCAGTCTCTCCACACACAACAGCGTAAATTTTCGCTTGAAATACAGTCGCATATATTTCTAGGCAGGTTGATATCTCTGTCCAGGGTCTGCGACTGAAAACACCTGCTCCAGAACCGTAAGGTGTTTTTGATCCATCTCTGAACCAACAACCATCTGCTCTTAATATTTCCTTCTCCAGCAGGATCCAGTCCTCTCTACTCGGGAACAGTACTTTATAAGGCAGTTCGTAGTTGATGTGACTTCCAGTGTCAATCGACAGTCTCTTGCACTCTGCATTAAACCGATTTATGTAATTGGCAATGTGCACACGTCTATATGCAGTCCATCTAGGCTCTCTCTTCAGAAAAATGTGTGGTGAAGTTAGATATAGAAGGATCTGCATGCTCCCTGATGGTGCGGTACTGATGGCACCACTAATGCCCAGACAAGCCTGTCTCTGTGAGCCAAAAAACTCCGCCTGGGCCGTTTGTTGTAAAGCCTTTGGCCACCAGGCAAGTGCACCATGAGTGATCATTGGTCTGACAATCATCCTATGAATCCAATTGATTTGTTTGGGACATAAACCCCAAATTATACCACAAATCCTTCGACATGTCTATAGGGGCAGTTTGGCTTTGTATGAAACTTTTTCCAAGTGAGCGTTCCAGGTGAGTTTTTTTATCAAGAACAATGCCAAGTTATTTCACCTCCATTTCAAATACAATATCCTCACCATTGAGGAAAAGTGGCGTTAGATCTTCTAATTTTTTCCTCCTGATGAAGGGGATTATCACAGTTTTGCTGGGGTTGATGCACACCTGCTTCCTCAGGCACCAACTGTGTAAAACGTTCGTCGTACTTTGGAGGATATTATAAGCTACCCTTCCCGACGTTGATCTTGCTGAGATGACAAGGTTATCTGCATAAGTTTGTAGATCTACTATTTTCTGTCGAGGGCATCAAGCAGACTATCCATCAGGAGAAGAACAGATAGTACCCCTGCTGACTCTGAACCTGATGGCCTCGCCTTGAAGAGTCGTAGTTGCAGTTTACCAGCATGGCATAGATCAGGTTCATGTAATTCATCATAATGTCCTCCATCGTAACATCAAAGGAGAGAAATCGCAATGCATTATAACGCTACAAGATCATAGTCGTAATATATAGAATACATAATGCAGAGAAATGTAAGCCGTCATAATCGCAAATCATCATAACGTAAAACAGCAGAACGTACTTTGTCATAAAGTACAAATTCATAACGTACTTATAGAAACGTTAACAGATCATAATTGCAATGCATCATATTCACATTGTATCATATTCACATTGTATCATAAACTCAATGTATCATATCGCTAAAGCGTAGAAACCGTAACATACAGAATCCGTATTTCATCATAACCGTAATGTATAGAATCCGTAAGTTTAATTACGTGATCCATCATAATTTGGTTGCTCGCGCATCATGTCTGTCTCACAATAGCTTACTGTGTTATAGTCGATGAGCCGAACACAAAAATATTCTAAGCAGAATAACCATCATATTCTTAGCG